TATATATATATATATATATATATATTACAATTTACATACATATGATATGATATGTTTTCAAATCGGATCATAAAATCTAAATACTACAACAAATACAACGCAATCTAAGAGACATGAAATCAGAATAAAATGGAAGAGCCATTTTCAATCCTCATTTTGGTAACTGTAACTGTTGCAGTGATTACTTGAGTGGGTGATATGCTATCATTTTGGGGTCATCAGATCAGAACTCTTTAGATATGATGGTTCACGGCACGCAAGGAAGGGATGTTTACAAAAAACAATACGACACCCAAATCACTAATAACTTTCGCAAATGGCGCTAGATGTTTTAATGATTACTGCTACCAATAATTTGGTGTGGTCACTGGTCAGAGACTCAGAGCTCTTCAAATCTGGTGTTTTACAATTACGACAGGTAAGGGGGGTGCTTGCAAAGAACACTCTGGTCAATGATAATTTTAGCAAAATAAAGATGGGATAGAATAAAACATACCTACTACGCCTCCAAAGACTCGATATTTTTAAATCCTATCGCTATTGTCCCTCATTTGAGAATTTTATTAACTGCATTATTCCTTAAAATTAAAAAAGTTTCTTATATGGATTAAAATAATCTAAATGAATTTGGTACGAAGTACAATCGTCACAGGTAATATCTTCTCAAAGAATAATTTAAAAAGAGCTCCATTGCTCCATGTATTTTTATTTAAAGATTAGCATTAAGATTTACCATAATATGTTGATGATCTAAATACGACTGGAACTGCAGAGGAGTATGAGAACATTTTAAAAAACTTACAACGTGAGTATGAAATGAAAAAAATCTTGGAGTAACTAAATCTTTTCTCTCCACTTGAAGATTGAGAATTCATGGACTAAGTTAAGATTAAGTTAGTAGGTTATGGATTAAATTACTTAATTTTCTTTTCTTTCTTTTTTCTTTTAGCTTATTTACTTAGGATAAAGTTCTATAATGTTTCGGTTTTTTATTTTATTTTTTCTGTACTTGTAGACTTGGTCATTATCATATAAGGAGCAAAGCTTCTTATGATAGGGGAATATTAGTACTCGTTTCCTTGTAATTGACATTTTTTATTTCAAGCATTTAAGTAATGAAGTGTTAATCTATTTTCTTTTTAATTGTGCTAATTTGTCTGACCTCATTTAGCAATTTTAGGAATTTGTTGACCGGAAAGAAGCATTTTCCGGAGCACGTCTTCAAATTATATATCTGTTGTGATTTTGGATTTTAATAATTTCTCACAAGTCACTTTAGCAATGAAGGACAACAGTACTCATTTTAAAGGTTTTGAACTTAATTGTGCTCCTATAAGTTAGATCTTATCTTATATAGAAATATATAAGATAGAATATATCTCTCGGGAGCTAAATTAGTGTAAAAAGAATCTTCACGGAGTAACACTTTCTTAGTTTATTACTATGTCAAGGTACTTGATCAAGTGTGCTGGATTCTATTGTAAAACATATGTTTCAATTAGTTTTCATCCTATTTTCAAATTTGTTTTCTTATCTTTAATTTCATAATTTCTGTTTTTGTTCCAAAGTGCCTTTTAAACTTTAAAACATTGCTCTAGTTACTTCGTAAGTTTCTCTGCTTTAATTTGCTCAAAGTTACCAAAATTTGCTCCAATGTTATGTTCTAATTGAATTGCTTTTTTTCAATCATTTTTCCGAGATTTACAGCTTTAACTTGTTTTTAATAACATTGAGAGAGACTATAAAAAAATCTTATATTATTTACTGCGTGCACTTACACTATAAAGTAACAATATTACTCTAACTAATCTTTGGACATCTAATTTCGCTCCATTACCCAACTCACCCCAAATAAGTAATTTGGGTCATAGAATAAAAATAAAATAAAATTATTGAGATAATTATTAAGCTATGCATTCATCTAATGATTAAAAAAATGCTATGATTTTTTATTTGAACAAATTAAATAAAATTAACGTTTAAAACAAATTTTATATGAATTAGGTTTAAATTAACATTAATCGTAAAATAACAAATTATAGCAAACTTAAACTGATTTTATAGATATGACAAGCTGCCCAACATACATAAGAGTTATTTTTGTTAACAAGCAAGAAACCAATCCATTTTAAGGGGGTGTATGAGATTGAGATTTTAAAATATTTTAATGGAATATTTTTGGACAAAAAAATCATTGGTATTCAATTAGGATTTCAAAGAATTGAAAAAATGTCACGTGGTATTCGATTAGGATTTTAAAAGATTATTTTAAAGTCTGTCCAAATCCGTTGGTATTCAATCAGGATTTTAAAAAAAGAAAAAATAATCTTGTGGTATTCAAAAATCTAACAATTTTAATGAATTTTTTATTGGTGTGAATTTCGTGAGACTTTTCAGTGAGAAATATAAATAGGATGTCTCTCTCGCAATTTCACCCTAACCCCTATGATTTCTTGAGATTTTTCTATTATAATGTCTTCTTCTTCCTTTGGCGGGTTGATCTGCTCGAAACCTGGTTCTGCCATGGAAGCTTCGTCAAAGCTCAAAACAGCAGATTTTTGAGCGATTTTCATCACAAAACAACCAACAAGATTCTAATATAATCCATCTAAATCAAATTTTTGAGTGATTTTTGGAAATTTAAAAAATGATTTTTCAAGGCATGGGTCGCGATTTTTCTTGGCACAAAAATGTATGATTTTTGTATTAAAAATTAGTGAGAAAACAACAAGGAAACCAAGAGTGTGTTTGATTGTGTTTTAATTTTTTTGTTCTTAAAACTGTTTTATAGAATAGTTTTTAAGAATTGATTTTCAGAATAAAAAAAGAAAAAAAAATCTGTTTGATAAATTTATTTTGGAAACAATTTTAAAAGTTAAAGAATAAAAAAATATGTTTGGTAAATTTGTTCCAAAAACATGTTTTTAGAACAAAAAAATAAAAAACGCGTTTGATCAATACCCGTTCAATACAAAACCATTAATAATAATAATAATCAAAACCACTGATACCCAAACCAAAAAAACACACAAATTTAGGATGAAAACCTGCAATACAACACCGTAATCAAGCCAAAATATAAACTTATTGTCAGATTTGATAAAAAGAACACCAAAAGGTGCAACTTAAAGAAAATCCAAGTTTAATCGCTGACGCACAATGATTCCTTTACACTGCTCAACGACGATGGGGGTGCTGCTTGCTAGGTGAGAAAGAAGAAGGGGTTTTGAAAATTTTTTAAAAATGCAACAATGCCTTTCAGTTTTGTTATTGATAATTACAGAAGTGTCATTAATGAAAATAGGTTGTTCTCCGTGTTTTGGATGTTTTCGGAACAAAAAATTGAAAACGAGAACGAAAATAAGTCTGAGTTGTTTTGCATTTTTAGTTCTAAAAACAGCTAAAAGAAAACTGCTTTCAAAATTAATTTTACAAAACTCTAACCATCAAACAAGATTTTTTGTTTTTACCATTTTAAAAACAAAAAATTGTTTTATAAAACACTAATCAAGCAAGCCTTAAAACTCTCAAACCAATTTTCGTTTACATCAATGAAACAATATCGATTTAAAGAAATATTAAAGCTTTTATAATATGGACCCTATATTTCGTAACAATACATTTATGAACGAAATTCTTTGGTTATAGAAAATGATTTCAAATAGTTTTTATGTCAATAGATAACTAAAAATTTATTTTTCAAAAGCCGCAAAGTAATTTAAGGTTTCAATGTATCGATTGAAAATTATTTGAGACTTTTTTTAACATTCTTGTAATAAAACCCAAAAATTCATGTTCAAAATTTTCTTAGCATACTCAATGAAGACATTCATATGATATATGATTAGAAAACTCTTATCACGAAGAACAAAAATCCCAAATTTTCCAAGTTCAGTTGCAAAAAATCCAAACAAAAATTTTCTTATGAACTTTAGGTCTATATGCAAAATTAGAATTATTTTAATAAATAAAAAATTGGGTCTTATAATCGTATATGCCAAATGAAGAAGATAGTTTTTAACCCATTGATCAAACATAAGAGCGAGAAAATGTTAATACGTGAAGGACTAGTATAACTTTAGATATGTTGAGAGTTGTTACTTAGTAATTTTGAATATTTGTTAAAAATTATATTATGCTTTACTAATTGAAAAAATCATATTAGATTTTTTTATTAATAATATTGCATTTCTTTGTTATTTTTTGTAATAACTTTTGTAATTTTAAATATTTATTAAAAATTTATATAATTTTTTAAAATCTTATAAATCCATATTGTCCTTTCAAATCTTATAAATTCTATTAGAATCTTTTAAAATCAAATCTTTTAAAAAAATCTTCAATATCCCCAAATTCTAAATAGTCTTTTAAAATCTATAAAAAAATAAATTAAAATCCTACTCCAATACACATTTGTCGTTCAAATTCTATAACACAACTATGCACCTCATACTTCTTACAAAACCATAACATTGACTTTAATAAAGGATTTGAGTTGGCTTTTTTAAAGCTGCTTTACTGCCTCAAGTCGTGCATACCTACACTCCCACATTAAATTTAGACTACATTCCACAATTTGATAGTCAAATCATGGAACACTTTTTACAAGGTGGGGGAAGGGGGTTGTGTTTTGGGATCTGAGAAAAAAATTGCGAGAGACTTCAAGAAAATTATTATTCCTAAAAAAAAAAAAATCTTGAAGCGCCCATGTTTTCCAACCCCAAAAGCGACATTATTTTGGAATTGTAAGAAAAAGAAATATTATTTTCATATATATTATTACTTTACCAAATAAGCATTGGTGCAGAAAAAGAAAAAAGAAAAAAAAACAATTGTCCCTGTCAACAGACACAACTGCGTAATTCCATTCTGGTGGGTAATGAAAACCTCAACCCTAACGAGGCTTGAAAACTAGCGTGATTTTGGCATCTCTTGACTTCCGATTAAGTAGAAAATTTCATCATTAGACATGTCAAAATGATGCACCAAAGACAATAATACAAGGCAAACAACTCTGTATATGAATATGGAGAAAAGAAAATGACAAATACATGGACAATAATGTGGAGGTGGTTAAAACATATCTTGTCCATTCGAGAGTGGTCATTATCAAACATTACTTGCTTACATACCAAAGACCCATCGAAAGGAAATTTGACAAATTGCAAAGGTGATCTAATTATTCATCAAACTCATGCATGTGATCTAAGAGGTAGTTGGCAGCCAGTTCCTCATTTTTGTTACAAGCGAAGTACACCTCCAATACAGTTGCACGATCAAAACCCATTGCTTCAAGCTGGGGGAGAAAACAAAGATCACGACACATGGAAATTATAAATTACAGAGGAACTTGTTAAAAATATATTCCCCGAGCTGTTGCTTAAAAACAAGAGTTCTGTTCTGTGTTTCTCTGTCTAAAAACACAAGCAAGACTAACTTGATTTTTTATGTGGGGCCCGTATACTTGGAAAGAGATAGACTGAAATTTGTAACAGCAAGCCATTCTGTTACGGATGAACAGATAATCTAAATCTATGTAAATTATGGATAAAGTTGTTTAACAAATGTGAAATACTATTTCATGCTCACAAACTTATATGACTATACTAGTGACTCCAGCTAGGTTTAAAAGGAAAAGTTCAGATGACGCTCCTATATTAGTTTGAATAGGTTGTCAACATAAAATATGTAAAACTACCATTACCCTTAACAGACTCAGTCAACATTCATATCACATCCTATAATTGAATTATAGACAATCAAACAGTGGCAAAATAAAAACACAGTGAAACTGTATAATGTGAGTACCAAGGGATCCCGTCAAGAAAAGGCAGTTTAAAATGAAACCAATAATTCCTTGGTTTCTAGACGGTCAGACAGGAAAACAACATCAATCATTCAATGCTTTATATAGACAAGAGGTTAAACTTACACGTTCAATTGCTTGCCGCTCCTCAGGGGTGACAGTCACTGCTTGTGGCATGGCACCAGCCAGCTGTCCCAAAATATTCCTAAAGCATAATAACAGAAAATTAAGCCACTGAGCATCAACTGATAAGAACAAAGAATAAGAACCAAAAAAGAAACTGCAAAAAACAGTAGAGTATTCCTCACCCCTCACCACCTTCCACAGGTTCGTTTATCAGGCGTAGGAAGTCAACTTGATGCTCTTGAATCAATCTCATAAGATGAGGATTTTGCTTGCCAAGCTCTTGTAGCATAGGCTGCAAGAATAGCAAATTTGAGGGTTCTATGAAGGAGAGAATAGATCAATAGAATATACACTAACAAGACAAAGAAGAAAACCTGCAATATTTGTGGATTAGCCTGCACCATAGCTCGCAAGGCTTGGAACTAAATACAAGCATAAAATTGAAAAATGTAGTTTAGACGTGGCTTGGAAGTAAGAAAGTCAGTACAAGTGGTAGGGCAAAGACATAAAGAATACCTGTTGACTGTTGCGCAGAAAATCTAAAGAACCGGCACCAGCAGCACCAGAACCAACATTGGGAAGGCCCTGTCACACAATATTAAGTACACCACCAAAATATTACTAATTCTTTATCATTTTTTTTTCGAAAAAACACTTCAGTAGGTACCTGGGGAAATAGGTCTAAAGGATTAGCATTAGGTCCACTAGATGGAACAGATGCTGGTTGTGCTGCTTGTGGAGCAGCAGCAGCTGGAGGATTTGCAGGTTGAGCACTTGCAGGCACTCGGGCCACAGGTTGAGCTTCAGCTTGCTCTGGTATGCCCTAACATTTATGAGTGATAATTTAATAAAAAGGACTGCAAGGCAGTTAATGTAAGACTAAGACCACTAAACCAAAGGTAAATTCCAATAAAATGACAGCTAAACCAAACTGTAGAAAACCCTGCCATTGAAGTATAAAGTAGACAAGTATCATTAGGTAAGAAATCAATCATCTTCTAAAATTCACATACTGAATACAAATATTCAACAGCTCTCTCAGGGTTGTTGTAAGCAGCCCGAAGAGCACGGACAACAGTATCCCTATCCCAGCTTCCTCCACCCATATCAAGGATTTGCTGAATTATTTCCTCCAAGTTGACACCAGCAACAAGATTGGATGCTGCCTGCCCATATATATCGGACCCTGGCCTGCTTCAACAAAGTTTACTTTAACATGAAAATTAAGGAAGAACCAATAGGAATTGAAAGATTGTTCCATCTTCAAAATGCAAACATTGCAAAAACTTTAAGAAGTGCATTCCACTGATAACAAAAAACAGAATATTACACTGCAGAGCCCAGAGATATAGGAGCAGGAGCAGGAGAAGGAGAAGGAGCAGCAGCAGCAGCAGCAGGTGCCGGAGCCGGAGCTAGGGCAGGAGCAGGAACTGTGGCAGTAATAGGTGGAGGCCTATCAAAATGAAATGAAGTTGCAGGATACATTTAACATCAAAATAGTTGTTACTAAAACTCATCTAAGCAAGTTTGGAAGAGGAAACGTGACAATCTTTATAACTCACGTTTCCCCAGTTGCAGTAGGAGGTTGAGGTGCAGTTGACACAGAGGTTGGAGTAGGAGCTGCACTTGTCTGTGTAGCCTGCAACGATGACACGAACGTTGGTTAATATTTTCAAAACTCAAGAGGGGAAATGCCGTTTAATAAAATGTCAACTTCTTTATAACAATTTTCATTTTCTTTTTCTTCCCTTCTTTTTTTTCTTTCCCTTCTGCTCTTCTCTTTATTAAATTGTTTATGTCTATGCTTCTTTGAATTAAGAGACATGACGAAATCCACCCTAAACACAATGAATTGCATGTCAACCTCCCCATTTCAGCTTAAGCTACTCTTCTAACCAAAGAATTTTAAGAGACATGATGTAAGTATCTAGAAAAAATCAAAATAAACATGAAAAATAAGCATTGTCACTGAGAATAAATAGACTAAAGTTTCAATTCACTGAGCAGCCAACAATGTGTGGTAAACTACTAGAACAGATTATCCACATAAGGCTTCGCTGTAGAAAATGCCATCTTGTACAGAAAAATAAAGGAAAAAGAAAAAGGAAACAATCATTAAGAAAACTCAACCTACAGCTAGTAAACAGAAGGCCCAAGAGAGCCTGCAAAAAAAATTTGATGTCTCTGCATAAACATAAACGATAGGCCAGCAATAGTAGTAGTGTTTTAAAAATCTGACTTGCCCAAACTAGCCAGTCTAATCGGTTTGACCAGCCCAGCTTGTGGTCTAGTACCAAAGCTAGATCAGGATCAAAAATGATGATAAGCAAGATAAATGTGATTGAACAGGCAAAAATCAAGTTAGGGCAGAAGACTTCCTTTAAAATATGATTCCATTTTCATAAAATTGAATTCATCAATTTATATATTTAATGTATATCACTTCAAAACTATAAACTTATGAGTTTTAATAATAGTTTAGTGTTTATAAATGTATTTAATTTACTATTACTATTTGACTATAATTTTATTTAATATTTTTTTTTTTTTGGTGAAATAACAAGCTTATTTTTCTTTTGAAGCAACATTAACACTTCACATATTAGACACGCAAACACATCAATGATAGAGAAGAAAAAACCAAAAATATACACCAATTGAAGGCACTTTTTCTTTTTGTCGAGGTAAAGGGTGTCTGTGATCTGTAAACATGTTTAGATTAGATACACCAATAGAAATTAATGTGATCATATTTTCCACTGTATCATTTTATATTTGTATATACTATAAAATTTAATTCAAAATGCCCAAATATAATCCAATCAAGTAGTAGAAGATCCCCAAAAAAGAGAATAGCCAAATAATAGTAATATTAACAATATTCATTAACATAGTATACTGTTCTCACCTTAGTTGAAGGTGCAGTTGAAGTAGTAGATCCTTCACCAGAAGAGCTCTTAGTCTAGCAATTTTGAGCACATAGATTATAATTTAGTACTGAACAAATGAAAATATACAAAACATTAAAAATTTATAAAAATTAAAAGTAACAATGAATCTCATTGATTCACTCAATATAAATTGCTCCAGTCATTTTCTGGTGGAAGTATTCCTTCAAGCTCAAATCACTTGCAATGAGAAGAGAACCCATACATACAGAAATAAACATGTATGTGAACAACAGTGACAAGTCAAAAACATAAACGGGATTAATCCCACTTGCAGAGTAAGTTGCAAAGGAGTTTCCTTGATTGTCTGCAGACAGATTGGACAGCTTTTACGAGCTGATATTAACAGCTGTCTCTCAGCTGTCAGAGAATTTCTTGTCCCATTCTCTTAATCTCCTTTTTTCTTTAAATGAAAAAGAAACTTGATAAAGCATTCGTGAAGATGAGCAAAGCTTGGAATAGGAAAAGCAGATGGTTGTTAAAAAGGTTTTAACAATAGCAACAAAGTTCAAGGGATAAAATTTTGGAAAATGAAGTCTAATCTAAACAACATTGAACAAAAAAGCTGGTTTATGTTAACGCACTTAGATATCCTATATCAGAATTTGCTTACAATGGCTTAACATTGTTAGAAGACAACTAATGAAAAAGTTCAACAAGAATATAAATCTGAAATACCAGCAGTTAAACCTCACAAGGCATTACCATTGAATGCCTAGTCTGACGGCAAAAACTCAGTAAGATCTTCCATTCTCATGAATTCTAGTCTGACTAAAATTCACGCATACAGGCTTCTCTTGCCTCTTAGTAGATCTTTTATGGTTATTAACTTATTATTGGAGGTATCTCCCATCAAACCACCTTAGAGAAAAGTGCTGTTGCAGATATTTATTGTAGCCTTCCATTTGACAGTTAACTCAGTACTTTGTTGAGCTACATACATTGTCCATGGAAAATCATTTCAATTTGCCCCAAATTCTATCAATAAGTTTCCCTGACAATCTTTTGCACACAATAGAAATTTAAGGTTCATTCAATCTATCTAGGTCAAAACGCAAATTTTCCAAAAACATTTTTTAACTTGTACATTGCAGTTTTCATTTGAAGTTAATGAACAGGGTGTTTGTGATATATGTTAAATTGTACAGTACAAAAGGGCAGCAAAAATCAGATCATATTACATTTGACTGGGATTGAAGGGAGATTTTGATCATCAATTTGGTACAGCTCCCATACCCATAACCCTTGATTAATAAGCCCCAAGGATGCACACATTGTCTTTATTAATAAGCTCCATAGATATCTGGGAAAACCTGTAGTTTATCACAGTTCTTGACCACTCCAAATTCTATTCTATCTTTCGATTACCAACTCATTCAAAACACCAAATAACTAATACACCTAAATATAATCTCCCCAAATAATTAATAATTCTCAGAATTTGGAGAATGTGAAGAATATTATTCACTGATGATTCTGACACATGCATAGGTTAGATTTATACAAAGTCAGCCTTCAATGATGTTGAGATATATAGTCTCACATTGGTTGAAGAGCAACTAATGTGGAGTTTATAAGGCCTTGGGCACTCTCACCCTTTGAGCTAGCTTTTGGGGTGGTGACCTCAAGGTTCTTAACATGGTATCAGAGCCTTCGAAATCTCACCGCCTCCCACTTTAAAGTGGAAGCACAAAAAGGTAAACCAAAAATTGGGCCTGTTGCATAATCCACGCTTCAAGCCAAGAGGGCTCTTGCGTGAGAGGGCGTGTTGAGATATATAGTCCCACATTGGTTGAAGAGCAACTAATGTGGAGTTTATAAGGCCTTGGGTACTCCCACCCTTTAAACTAGCTTTTGGGGTGGTGTATCCCAAGGTTCTATACAAATGAAAAGGAAAAAACTAATATCAGAATCCATATTTTTTGGGATTTCCTATTTGACTGGAAAATACAATTAAATGTGCTTTATTCTGGGGATACAATCTGACACTGGATACAGAATATTTCCTAATATAGATAATAGGATCAGATCACGATTTTCCACATTAATATATTGCTATGCGCATGTAGTTTTTAGGTAGCTTAAGGGGGGTGCACAAAACAGAATGCAAAATTAGATTCTATTCATTTTTATTTAACCCCTTTTAGTAGAACCAGCATGTACCATTTATTAACTCCATGTTTTTGTTCTGTTCTATTTTTATAATATATCAAACATAGAATAGAATCGACATGTTACATTCCGTCCCATTCTAACACGTCTTCCAAAAGCTACCTTACTCTTTAGACAACTATGTATGCAACCAAATAATGGAATATATTTTCGTAGCAAAAAGACCTTCGTAGTTTTCAAAAAGGAGAAAAATAAAGAAATAAAAGAAAATTTTACCTTCGATAGCATAATGACAATAAAACTATTTTCATTTATTTCATTTTCCTCCAATGTAGTGCCATCCTTGAGAACTTTTCCTTGATGAATTAGCATTTGCTGCGCTGCAGGATAGACATCTGCGCCCTGAACAGTTTCGATATTTTTCTTCACTTCAGAAAGCTGAAAAGAATAACCACGGTTACATCAAATAATGCAGATTAATTATAATAGTTCAGAAAGGACGCAAAGTGGCAGAAACATAAAGAGAGAGAGAATTACGAAACACATAATTAAAAGATGAAAAATTGACACACTTGAAGACATCCTCAATTCAGCCATCTGTGATGGTTTAAATTATTTATAAAATTTCTACTGCTAGGAAATGCACATTCTTAGATAATGAGCTGCCTCTAAGTTTTACAGCAATTTCAATTCCAACAGTTCACTGTTCAATTAATTATTGATCCAAGCGTAACTTGTAGAACTATATACAAGTCAGTTACGCGCAACTATTAAAATTACCATGGCCATGAGGTTCAAAAACAACAGTAAAAACTAGTATTGTCCACATTTCATCCCAGTAGAGACAGGTTTGAAGTTCCCCAGTAAAGTTACGAACAATGTCACTCTCAAACTTATTCGTTATCATGCGTCAAACATCAGCAAACACTTAGCCACTAGTGGTGTTACCTAATATCCAACTACAAATGGTGCAGCTGAAAAATAAATAAATAAATAAACTAAGTAGCTAGTTAGTGTTCTCAATCACCATAGCATATTCCATTCGTTCAACAGCATATTCCAAAAAACCACAAAGCAATCAATTCAAAACCTAAATTTCAACTTAATTACTAAAAAATTTAAACGCAGAATTGTGATCAATTAAATTCAACAAAAATCGAACAACCGGTACGTTAAAACCCCAGTTAACCCTCAAATTCAGGGCTTCTGCTCTCACAATCGAAGTGAGAAGCCCGAGCTTACGGAAATACAAAAGGCGATTAAGTTACGATCGAAATTCGATTAGACAATGAGACTGGTGGGGGCAAACCGTGTCCGAGGAATTCACTTCAATTTCAAAGTGCGTTCCTTTCAGAGTCTTCACGAAAACCTTCATCTTCGTCGCTTCCACCGGTGCTCGATCGCCAACTAAACAGCCTCGGGAATCTCGCCGGCGAGGCTTTGCTCCACCGATCCGAAAAGGGTTTTATGCCCTAACGAAACGACGACGCGAGGGAGAAAGAGAAACACGAATGCGCAAGAATGCCACGAAACGAGCAAAATCTCGTTGTATTTAAAAAGCGAAACCCAAAATCTCGTTTTATTTATATACGTAGCAGTTGGGACTTGGGAGACTATTGCCACGTGTCATTTTAGAGTTGAATATCATCTCAGCCGTTGGGATGGGCTTATAAAAAATATTTTTTATACCTTACTTATTTACAAGTATTTTTTCATAAAAATTAAAGTTATTTAAATTTTTAAAAAATAATTGTTTTTTGAAGAAAACAAATTGACTTTTGATTTCTATTTTTTAAAAAACTACAAATTTTAACTTAAAAAAATAGATTATTTTTATGATTTTTATTTTTTTAAAGCAGATATCCAAACAAATTTTTTTATAAGAAATCTTTTTTTCCTGAAAAAAAAGTAATTTTTTTAAAAAAAAATCATCTGAATCCATTAATTTTAGTACTTAATCTATCATTTCCATAAATTAGTAGTATCATTTATTATGTAATTATGAATTTATACCTGTGTACCACCTTGTATTGTTTTTTTTTTTTTTTTACTTTGAAATATGTGAGAAATAATTTGAATATATTTTTTGAAAAAATATCAGCCATTTTAGGCGAATTGACTTATGGGAATACAATTTCTTCTATTGTAGGAGAAAAAATGTTTTTCCTCCTGAGCCATCGATAGCTGCACTTTTGTTTTTTTTTTTATTTTCTGGCTCCTGATGGTCCCAAATTTATTATGTCTAGAAGCAATGTTGCATCGATATTAATACAAGACACTGGTTATAACATAACATGATACTTAGACATGTTAATTTTAAAAAATATTAAATTTTGACACGTTATAAAATATTTTGATATTAAATAATATTTTTAATATATATAATATAATTTATATTTAATACATATAGTAACCCATAATAAATTATATAATCAATTAAATATTTAAATTTATAGACAAAGTTAACACTGAAGAAACCGATAAGAAAAATAAGCATAGAAAATATTATTACAATATACGAAACACATGTATGGCTGAAAAATATTATTAAAATAAATAAGACAGAAGAAAACGATAAGACAATTGGTTTATGCGAGTATTGGGCCAAAGCAAATGGACCTAGGCCCAAGAGTCTAGCCCAGAGGATCAATGTTTAACCTCCTTATTTCTGAAACTAAAACTGAATTGTGATGTTTGTGTTGAACCACAACGGAGAAGCCATTGTCATCGAACACGAAGGGGAAAGCTTCAGACGATGGGAACATGAGCATAAGTGCGCTGAACGAGGACCTTCTTCAGAACATTCTGGCTAAACTTCCTGCTCTATCGTTCGCTTCAGCAGCTTGCGTTAACAAATCATTGAATTCTCTCTGCAATCGCATCATTTCTCGTCCCAAACTCTCTTCTGCGCTTTCTCTCGGTCCTTCACTCGCAGTAAGTCCCCTTCCTTGTCTTAAAACTTCTTCTTCTTTTTTCCTAAAACTTTTATGTTTTATTTTAAAATAATTTTAATTTTATAAAAATTTCAAAAAATTTACATTTTTGGCATTGTCAATGTCGATATAGTGGCCCAAAACATTAATCACGTGTTAGACGCTATTGACATCAACTCAAATTTTTTCAAGAAAAAAAAAAAAAAAAAAAAACTCTTTTGGGTCCCTAACAAAAAATACAGTCCTCACTTTAGTCCCTTATAAAAAAAAATTAGTCAGTTGGCTCCTAACAAATTTAAAGTGGACCTATTTTAGTCTTTTTGAGGGACTAATATGGGTCTTTTTTGAAATTGTTAAGGACCGCGATTTCAACTAAATAGGTCCACTTTGAATTTGTTAGGGACCAACTGACTAATTTTTTTTTGTAAGGGACTAAAGTGGGAACCGCATTTTTTGTTAAGGACCAAAAATGGTATTTACTCAAAAAAAAATTGTGTCAATGCTTCTTAAGCTAGAAGGGCGATAACTTCTCCGATGACGCGAGAAGTTATTATTTATTGATTTATTAACCCATTTGTCAGAAATAGAGTACTAAAATGATCTTCTCATTCTCATTAATTTTCCTCATCAACAGAGGTGTATTTATACACAATTTATATATGCAGATATGTAACAACTAACAATAATAAAGGAAACAAATTTCTTAATTTATCCTATACAGTTTTATCTATACAGAAATTCTATTTATACAATTTCAAATATGTAGGAACAGTATAACAAGCTATTTTGAATTACTTTATTCCAACACTCTCCCTCAAGTTGGAGCAAAGATATCAATCATGCTCAATTTGCCTATTGTTTTTTAGAAAACTTTCCCTGACACAACTTTAGTTAAAATATCTGCAAGCTGGTCTTCAGATCTAACAAATGGCAAGTGAATAATACCCTATCCAAGTTTTCTTTGATAAAATCTCGATCCACTTCAACATGTTTGGTTCTATCGTGTTGAATTGGATTGTGTGCAATTGCAATTGTTCCACTATTATCACAATGCAGGTCCATCGGCTGTTTTTGAGTAATTCCCAGATAGCCTCTGCACTAGATCTTGCTACCACCTTTTGTTTTTTACTCTTCCATGTGACAAGGTTGCCTTCCACATATGTAAAGTAACCAGATGTTGATTGTCTGGTCGTCTTGTCTCCTGCCTAGTCAGAATCAATAAAACCAATAACAGATGAAGAGTTATTCTTTGAAAACAATAGTCTTTTTCCCGGAGATCCCTTTAAGTATCTCAAGATCCGATATACTGCCTCCATATGTTCTATGCTTGGAGATTGCATAAACCTACTAACTACACTTACTGCATAAGAAATATCTGGCCTGATATGTGATAGTTACATTAGCTTCCCAACTAATCTTTGATATTTACCAATGTCAGTGGCAATTTGATCCGGATAAATGCCTAACTTGTGATTCATTTTCATTGGTGATTCAACTGGTTTACAAGCAAACATTTCAGTTTCATTTAAGAGATCCATAGTGTATTTCCTTTGTGAGAGGAATATCCATGTTCAGATCTTGATATCTCAATGCCTAGAAAATATATAAGTTGTCCTAGATCTTTCATCTCAAATTCAGAGCTTAAGTATTTTTCTAGTTTTTCCATCTCACAATGATCATCTCCAGTTAAGACCATATCATCTACATAAACAATTAAAGCAGTTACCTTGCCTTTATGATGCTTTATGAAGAGGGTATGGTCAGCATTGCTCTGTTTGTACCCAAAGTCCTTCATGGCTAGTGAGAACCTTCCAAACCATGCTCTAGGTGATTGCTTTAACCCATATAATGCCTTTTTCAGCTTGCAAGCTTCAAACTTTCCTTTGTTTTGTAGGTTTACCCTAGATGGAAGCTCCATATAAACTTCTTCTTTCAAGTCTCCATACAAAAAAGCATTCTTCACGTCAAATTGTTTGAGAGGCCAGTTTCGGTTTGCTGCCAATGACAATAGAATTCGAATGGTGTTCAGTTTGGCTACTGGAGCGAAGGTGTCTTGATAGTCTATCCCGTACTTTTGTGTAAACCCCTTAGCAACTAGTCTTGCTTTGTACCTATCAATACTCCCATCAGCTTTGAGTTTTAGGGTGAATACCCATTTACATCCAATTGTTTTTTTTCCTTGTGGCATAGAGACAAGTTCCCATGTTGAATTCTTCTGAAGGGCTTCCATTTCAATGTTCATAGCTTCCTTCCAATTTGGATCCGCCAATGCTTCCTGTGTATTGTTAGGAATATGTACAGAGGATAATTGATTTACAACTAAAGCATATGATCTAGATATTCTATGAGTAGACACATAATTACTAATGGGATATTTAGCTTTTGCTTTGGGATCAGGTTCATATAGTGTCTTAGGAACACCTTTGTTGGGTCGGTTATAGCATCTTAATTGTAGAATAAGAGGGTTTGATGGAAGAGTAGTTTGAGAACATACCTCAGGTGCTGAATGCTGTATAGACTCAGGAGCATCTTTTGATGACACTTCGGGTAATGGTGTTAAAGGGAGTAAGCTTGTACCTGGATCAGATATCTGGGGAAGCAGTGGTGATTGCGCTGTAGTAGGTGGTAATTCTACACAAACTTCTCCTCCAACAAGCTCTGGTGATGCCCCCCCTGAGGAGAAGTGTCGAGGACTCCCCCTGAGGCAAAATATGGCTCCTCTTCATAAAAAGAAGCTTCAAGTGTGATATGAATTTTTGTTTTAATGGGGTCGAAGCAACGGTACCCTTTTTGTGATTCTGAATAGCCAACAAATATGCATTTGGTTGCACATGGGTCTAATTTACTGCGTAAGGCTTTGGGTTTGTGACCATAAACACTACAACCAAATATGCGAGGTTCTAAATTGAGAATGTGAGGAATGGAAAAATGGGAATGGAGGACAGTTTGTGGTGTTTGGAATTTAAGGACGCTAGAAGGAGTGCGGTTAATGAGATATGCAGCAAAGAGGACAACTTCACCCTAATATTTCTTTGGGAAATTCATGCTAAATAAAGAGGCACGCACCACTTCTAATAGATGTCTGTTTTTTCGTTCAGCTAAGCCATTTTGTTGCGGTGTGTAGGAACATGAAGTTTGATGGCGGATGCCATGATCAAGCAAGAAAGTAGTGAAGGTGTTGGACAAATATTCCCCCCCCTTGTCAGATTGGAGAACTTGAATTTTGGAATTATATCGGGTGGTTACCTTAGCATGAAAGTGTTTGAAAGCAGTAAAGGCATCACTTTATTTACGTAACAAAGAAACCCAAGTCATATGAGAGAATTCGTCAATAAAAGTAATAAAATAATAGGCATTAAAGAAGGATGGTACGTGGGCAGGACCCCGGATATCAGAGTGAATTACTTGAAATGGAATGGTACTTTTATTGATACTTGGAGAAAGGGGATACGATGGCTTTTAGCCATTTTGCACACAGTGCAAGAGAAATCAGAACAAATCAAGGTAGAAAATAAACTGGGAAACAATTTTTGCAAATAATTAAAGGAGGGATGTCCTAATCTTCTGTGCCATAACCAGACGGTTGCACGAGCTTCTTC